AGGCTTCTGATTGTAAAGCCTCAGCTTTATAATGTGGTGTTCCGGTGCGAGGGGAGCTGGACTCAGCGGTTCTGGTTGGTACCCTTCTGTGTCTCTCAGACCGCAGCTCTGCTCTCCACCTCGTCCATTAGAGCCCACAACTCTGTGTAATTACAGGAAGGAAAGACAAGCTGTTGACCCACGAACATCGGAGATTGAATTCGTCCTCGCGGTTTGGCGCTGGGGGCTGCTTGTGAGTATGTACGTGAGTGCAGGTCGTTTTACAACTACGGCTTGTTGTATGTGCGTTTTTGAGGATGAAGAGGGATGGATAGAGCTGCGGGTAATTGGAGAGGGGGGTGAGGTTCAGGGAGAGCAGTTAGGGCAGGGGACGGATTGTAAACACCAGGGGTGCTGCGGGTCGCAAAGTAGAAAGACTAGAGTTGTTTTTGAGCTAGCTTTTTGTTGTCTGCATGAAAAAAAATGAATCTACAGCAACAGGGGCGAGACATATTCCCAGTCACTGTGGGTTCTTAGTGGCCGCTGAAATCAAAACAAACTTTGTGATCCAGATATCCAACACAAAATGTCTACAACGAAGAGAATCCCTCAAGGGGGGGGAAATTAGATTCAACGTTTGCTCTGTTTATTCACGAGTGCCACCGGCTGCACCCAGCAAGGGTTGATGTGTGTTTCATGGATCTGCATAAAACAACATAGATTACAGATGTACAGATCACAAACATAGTAGGAGCAACAAGGATGCAGCTTGTAAACATGTGGTAATGATTGTCCCCCTGGGGCCACACATACAGAAACATAAACACTTGTGTAACTGAGAGACACTTGAAGCATCTGCCATCATGACATGACACATGAGGCAGGAGAAGTCGTTACAATCCAAAACCAACAGATGATTGCCTTCTAGATGAAGATTCTGACAAAAGCCAACATTTTGACGACTAGTTGGGCTTAATGGAGACCACCACTTACACGCTGATATGCACAATATGACAACGTGTGAACGCACACTGACAAACTGGTGCCCAAGCGACAAGCAGCCCTGATGGATGTGACGCACTGGCCGTGATGAAGTGGCAACGTGCGCTGGCACACAGACAACTAAGACAGACGACGCAGACCACAAATAGTAAACGCGAGGACACACGTGCATGTGCACTCCTCGATCCACCCACGGAAACACCTGTGCATGCACTCAATTCAATACGGGGTGGAAAAAGCTGCTCCCTCTCAGGGCCTGCATTTAAACGAGGTGTAACTACAGTCCAACCTGACATGTTGGGAGTTGGGAGGGTCGGTGAATCAGGTGCTGCCAAGTTGGCTTCCCCTGGATCACTTCTCCGAGGTGACAAAAAATGAAAAACCCTTCCATGGGGAAAAAAGGGAAGAAACCTTAGGGAGAACGTCAGAGGAGGGATCCCTCTCCCGGGATCTCCCATTATCCATTGTAATGTATGTCATGTGTGCAGAATGAACAAGATAAAAGATGTAAAATACATTGAATTCCTTTAACAGAAATTATTCAAATAATTGCGAGTAGTAATCCAGGTGTACGGCAGGACCACTGCAGGGACAACCATCATCAATTAGAACCACCATCCCCAGAAGCCTGTGGGGAGGGACGCTTGACTAAAAGGACATCTCTAAGCGACTTGCTGTATATAGTTTGGGAGAGTGGAAACTATTGTGGGTCATGTCTTTTTGCTTGGTCTTGCAGTTGAGGACGGTATCTTGTTTTCTACACTTAAGATCAGTTTTTTCTTTATCAGGGTTGTTAATGTTTGGCAATCCTCAATGTGGTGCAGCTCATGGCTTTTGTTCTGTGCTTCTACCTGGCCTGGAAAGTCAGGTGGTGGGTGAGATCGGCCTCTGTGTTTAACAGGGGCTCCTGCTGGCCCCGGCCGTGTATCAGCTGGCTCTCTCTCAGCCCCAGACTCCTCTTTTCTATGTGGACGCTCACTGGATCTGGCAGATGGCTCCTCATGACAAACAGGGGACTGAACACCACCTGAAACAGGGGATTCATAGAAAACACTCATCAGTGAGACAAACTGCTCAGACACTCAATACTGAACTAAACTGGGAGAGGGATAGTTAGATGATCAACTATTCAGCTAAGGCACCCAACACTAGGTTTAAAAATCTGGTGACAATAGTACATATGATGTAAAACATCCACCCGTCTGGTCTATAACCGTTGTATGTAAAGCTCAGTGTACAGTGTAAAAAAAGAACAAGGTTATGTGTAGTTTTGGTGTTCTCTTGCAAGTTAACTCCCATTATTCTGAAAAGACAAAAATAAATTCCATTGCAGCGAAAACCCATTTATCCAACAGCCCATTATCCTAAAAGCAAGCGGCATTGTTCAGACGGTCCATTACTCTGAAAACACACACTCTACCCAAACATGGCTATTCATTAGGCAGAATAATGTCATCCAACATGCCATGACGGGCACTTCTCTTCCTCTGACTAGCTCGTACCCGTTGACTTCTTTGCTTTAGCTAGTGAGGTGTAGGCATGAGAAAGATTATTTAGGATAACAATACGGTGGTGAGTCAAGATGCAGAGAACGGATCATACCACAGTGGAACAAAACATATTTCTACCATGGGGTCAGATGACATAATCCTGCATAATAATTAGCAATGGGCTCATTGTTGGAGCTATGAACGTTTCTTTGCAGGATAACGGACTGTTGAGGAAAATGTAGTTTTTTTTACCATTGGCAAATAATGGCATGGCATCCCGTAGTAAACTATAACATATAACTCTCACAACAGTGGAATACCCGAAACGTGGCTAATGCAGAAATAGAAACAACAACTTTTTGTCACAAAATGGAAATGATTGGATACTCACCACTCTCTGCTGCATGTGAGAGTCAGGTTCAATTGTGATGAGAGTGCACCAAACATAGAGCAAAGAACCACTGGAACAAGGCACCTGAAAAACATAAACTTACTGTTACGATTCTGTATTATCACTTATAATTCCAGGCTGTCCAATCCAAAACATTTTATTCCTACAGTACATGGGAGTTTATGGCGCGTCATATCTTTCCATCTATCTATCCATTATCGCCTTATTATTATAATGGTTAATGCAAAAAAGAATGGGCGAAAGGGCACTCAAGGGAAACATGATTGTTTTGGTTAGCAGTTACAAAATATGGATATCTGATTACTTTATTGCATTTTTCTGCATTTTATTCAAAGACAGAATTGTTTTGCCCTTATCAGAAAGACATTATCCTGTTTGCTTTTTGTCTTGGCTTCTTCCAGTAGTTTAAAGTCAAAGTCTGCCTAAAGTCCTGCGACACAGTATAGCGGCGGAGGTGACTGGCGACTGCCAGCGCCACATAAATGCGCCATTACGGGCACCTCATTAAAGACATGGGGTGCCAAAGCCATTACAAGTGGTCTGGTTTATAAAATACTGGGAACTTGTCCTTGGTGTGGACAGAGAGATTGGAGCAGAGAGACCATTTCAGTTTTATCAAGAGGGCCATGAAAGAAAAAAACAACCTTGTTGGATGAGCTAATGAAACTCTATGAAACAGATACTCTGGTCTGATACACCAAAAACACAAATGGCTGGGATAAGGTCACGACGACCTCCTGTGCTTTGTCAAAGGTAAAGGAAGATGTTGAAAATCAGAGTTAGGGAGGAGGAAGGGAAGATATGGCGAAGAGGAGTTACCACGGATGGATTACCAGTTAATCAGGAGACGGATGGGAAAAGAGACGGGAGGAGAGTCAGAGGGTGGAACAAGTGGAAGAACAGAATGCCAGAGGATGAAGTAAATAAACGAGAGGAGTGAACAGCTACAAGACAGACGAGCAGGCCAGTGTGTGGGCGAGGGAAACGGGGAAATATCAGGAGACAGACGGACATAGAGAGATGTGAAGATCCAGCTACTAGTCCAGGCTCTCATTCCAGGCCAAGCCTGTGTAATAAACGGCTGATCTGAGGAGAGGAGATAACAGCAGAGAGATCGGAGCGGAGTCAGGGATGTTGACGCCCGCACACAGAAGCAGGAGCTGCAGAAAGTCGAAAGCTGTGAACAGCAAGGGGCCTATAAAGGAAGAACACAAAGAGAGAGTGGCGAACGAGGAGAAATACAGAACTAGCGGAAGAAGCGCAGAGGACACAGCAAAGGAGCAACTGTCTGGCGCCGGTCCAGCGGTGCGAAAGTCCCTTCAAAGCCTTTCCCTGTGCCCACCTATCAATAGTACTTCCTCTCTATGGTTAGAGTTGTTATGAGAGAGCATAAACTGTATTTTCTGCCTCTCAACATGGCGGGTTTTTGGTTTCCATGGTAAGATTATCTGAGGGGACAATCTCAATCTGTCCTCCCACCGTGAGCGACTCTGCCACTGTGGCCACCCAGGAGGAGAGCATCCGGACACAGTTGGTGGTCCAGTCTGTGTGTGTGTGGCTGGGTTGGTTAGAAGCAGTGCTGTGTGCAATGTGTGTGCCCATCTGCGTTGTTGAACAATATCTGTCCATGTCAAACAAGTCAAAGAACAATACAAAGGTCATGTAGCAACACTGAGGTGTTAGTCAGGGTCCGTTAGTGTTACGGTACCTGCACAACAGAGCTGCCGTTGCCCTTCTCCCTGCTCTCCAGCTGAACGTCTTGGGACCAGTCCTCATCTCCCCTGGCCCTCAAGCACAGCTCCGTCATCTCAGCGTCCTCTAGTACGTACGAAGGCAGCTTGGCCCCGGCCTCCAGGCAGTCGCAGTGTTCCCTGACCACCGTCTGACCGTCAGGCCCCACGTAGTGCTGCACCACCCGCAGCTCGATGTCCTGAGTCAGGTAGCTGCACATCACTTGCCGCCCGCAGATTATTACCTGGAAGAGAACAGTGAAGGATTGAATACAATTAAAATAAAGCCAAGCCTTGAATGCAAAGACGTCCGGAAACGAACATGCTTTTAGGTTCTCTATGCCCATGACCACACAAATGAGAGTCTGACACAAGCTCTACATCAGGAATCAGGAACATTTATTGCCAAAATATGCTATACACAAGTTGACATGGCGGTTGGTGCATAACAACAGACAGTAAGACAATCGACAACAACATGGCTAACAAGAAAATGGCTTGCTAGGTGTGTTCATAAAGATGTGTGAGAGAATTGCTTTGTGAGTTTGACTAGCACTTCGGGCGAAGCATGCCGATGGAAAAAACTTGTTTACTCAGTGTTGTTACTTCAGGTTAAAATCGAAGGGAAAAAATTAAAGAACTGGAGATGATTTTTCCCCAAGATTTCACGACTGAAATGTCACTGGTGCTAGGACATTCATCCGTATAATAATATCTGATGTCTTGGATAGTAAGTACAGTAAGATGTAAGTACAGTCCACTACTTGTGTGGGTATATACATATGCTTGTATTGATGGATACGAATGGAAAGGCAAAGCCCACCAGTGCTCACTGGGACTGACATTTTCAAAACTTGATGAAAATGCATCACAGAGCAGAACTTGACTTTTAAAGCTTTATTCTTTGCAAAGAATGTTCAAGGGTCCTACAGAGTGCAGTCCGTCTGCATGAGAAAGAACACCTCTGAAACAGAGTTGTCTATTCAACAGATACAGAAACCACAGGGGCTACATTCCCATCCCAAGTTAGATGTGTGTGTTTTATGCCATCATGTGTTATGGCTGTGTGTGTTCTGCAGGTTGTGAAATCTCTCCATTAATTACAGCAGCGTGTTGGCGCCAACAGGAATGACGAAGAGGCCATAACAATGGACAGAGAGGGACAGTGTGCGACACAATGTGTATCAACCCCTCCCCTCATGCCATGTAGAAGATGAGGTGCGCTCACATCCTATTGGGTGGCAACCGCCGCCCCCCCTCTGAGGATACGTATTGTGTAAATTGGCCACTTCAGCCCTTTCATCGGATCCAATGGGAACGAGATGTAAACAAAGTGTGGAACGGACAGGGGAAGGAATGCTAGAGGCCGAGTGTGTTTTGTCTGGAGGACGAGAGGGAGACATGTACGACACTCAACATTGTTTACATAACAAAGTGTGACCGACCGCCGTAATCCGACAGCATCCCGGCATTTTCAGGAACGCGACGTGCCATTCTGGGAAAGAACATGCTGTTGTGGTGTAGAAAAGGGACAGCATCTGGTGTATGATCTCCTGTGATCTTCTTTGTGGATTGATGAAGTGGCTTCCAGTTCATGAGCTTTTGTTTTGAGTGCCACAAAACGTAGATTATGAAAACATGCTGTCCCTACATTCTTGGTGCTGTTGAATTCTGGGCCATCTTTATTGCCGTGGTGTCTATTCCACCACAAATGTACTCAAATAAAATGTGTTGCCAGTACTTTGAGTCTTTTCTCTTTTTTGGAAATTAAATCCTGGGTGACTAACATTGTCTCTCATTTGATAGTTAGTTCTACTATTATTTTGGTTAACCTTAACCGTAAAAATGCAACTGACCATTTAGGATAAAAAATGTTTTTTCATTTCTCAGATAGTGAAGATGTCTTGCGTGCTTCCCACTACAATAAAAACATAACAAGATCCAAACAAAAAGGTCCGCACCTGTTTCTGGACCCCATTGAGCTGTACCACTTTGATGATGAGGGAAGCCGTGCGGCCCTTGTACTGAATGGTCCTCAGCAGGGTCCCTACGTTGTCCACACTGAAGGCCTCTGACCAGCGCCAGTTCCCCCATCCCTCGATGCAGATGTGCAGCAGCTGCAGGACACACACATGCAGGACAGACAGAAACAGAATACAGCAGACATCAGAGGTTAGTCTCTTTGCCCTTTATTTATTCCCAAGCAAAAGGAAAGTAAACAGTCTTTGTTTAGAGAGTTTTGGTAGGACGAAGAAGGGAGAAAACAAAGTTCCTGTTTACCGGTCCTGAATAGGCCTGCTGCTGCTGGAAGGACACAATAAACCAGCTGGTGGGAAACAGCTGATGTGGAAGATCATTTTGTGTGGGTGTGTGTACGTAGTTGGATGTCGAGCGCTCTGTTCTCCACACGTCCAAATAAGAGGCAAGCAGGTTGGGACTCGACCGCCTCGTCTTTGTGTACGTCACTTCCATGTGGAGACCACATCCACGCGTGTGGCTGCGTGCAGAAGCACACACTCAGTGGCACAGCGATAAACAGACGCTGTCCCGTCCTTTGACACACAAACAACTTGTGACGGCGACATTTTTCTGACCCCTTTCCACACCATTTCTCATAATTTTGGGCCCCGACATGAAAGCAATAGATACAAAGCAACTACATCTGTGGACATGTCTGCAAAGGTTTAAAAAGTTGTCACAATACGTCCATCCTTGCATAAGGAACAACTAAAAGCAAAATGGTCAAAGCAATATGAAGGTTGGCGACCTTGGTCACAATACAGGAGCAGAATCCTAAATAAGGTGGGGAGATCTAAAGCTGCCCCCCGCCCCTCCAAGGCAGCAAATGCCAACAAAAAATTAAAACTTGCGAGAGCTAGAATGGGGTTGAGGGAGGACGTGAGAGTAGACAAAGAATGAATGTGAGCGGGAGAGTTTGGAGAGACTGCAGGGGTCAGGGGGCAGGGCTTGGGGGGTTGCAATCCTCTGCGACTAGAGTGGAACACTGAAAAGTGTTTTTGAAGATTTACACTTTGGCCAGTCACCTCAATGTGCAGAGTGTTTAGCCAATCTGACTAAAGAAAAAACAAATTATCCATGAGGTCAGAGAGCACGGGGGACACGGGTCAGGACCATCAAAGTTTCTCCCCGCTGTACTCTGTCCACGCCCTTTGAAGGCAGATTACTTTACAACAACATTCTTAATCAAAGCCTGAATACCCTTTCTTCAAAACCATCCCTCCTCCCTGTTGGCTGAGTGGAAATTACATCATTTCTCAGATCTCCAGCTCAGTGGTCTTGCTCACGGGGAAAGTGGCAGGGTGGTGTAAACAGTCAGGTGACAGAGGTTAATGGTAAGCCTGAGGGCCTTCACACAGCGGAGTGGGAGTGTAGGGGGGAATTTAGAAAGGACACTTGATGCATAACTCGGAAGCGAATATTAAAACTATGCATAGCGTTGGCTCTTCTTTTTAATAACATATTTGAATAGATTGACACAACCAGAGGACCAACTACTAGGATCTTTTAGGCCCAGAGCAGTGTCTGGCAAGCTGAAGTCCATTGTTATGTAGCACAAGGTGCATACATCTATGGCTTTTATTGTGAAAGATAATAGAAGGAGTGGACCTGTTTGTCAAGGTTTAAAGGACTAATCTAGTCTTGCATCCTCTCTAATGCCCACCAGGGAGAGCAGACAATTTGTTATTTCAACACTTCTCCCTCCTTTAACCCCTTTCCTCCTCCCTGTCGCTGTGGCTCAACTTGACCTTTAAAGGAGTCATAACAACGTCTCTTGTGGAACTTCAAACAGTCAGCCGTGCTCTTATTTAATTAATCACCGCTGTGACTCAAGCAGTGGAAGAAAAAAAACCCAAAACAAAACAGCGGTGACACAGACAAAGTGGGCACATAGGACAAAAGGAATGAATAATAAAGCGCTGTTTTGCGTTTTTGTGACGTACCATTAGCATATAAATTATTTCGTAATAGCTTGTGAGGTCACAGCGACCTTGTAGTCGTATAAGAGATTCAATTATGCATGTATAAGTGTTCAACAATATATATACAACCTTTTCATATGTGCATGCATGAGTGTTTCAGATAGATACGTATAAATGTTTCACTTATATGCATGTAAGCATTTCATATGTATATGACACAAAAGTATATATGTATATGTGTGTTTCTCATATGTACATGACGTCTTGTCAGACGAGTATGTATAATGTTTTATATATGCCTGTGCATAGGTTTACAGAGTATGTATGTATGTGTAAGTGTCTCAGTAGTGTGTGTGAAAGCATTTCAATAGTGAACGTAAGAGTGTTTAATTAGTATGTGTAAGAGTGTTTAATTAGTACGTGTAAGAGTGTCTCAGTAGTTAAGTTCTAAACGGCCCCTCATACTTTCGTGGGGCTGTGTGATCGGTTTTCAAAGTCTGCAACTGCTGAAAATGGTTTAATTGCATAACATAATTAAAACATCCATTTTGTAACACTGTTTATATATTGTCAAGCAGTAGATATGAGAAGCTTACTTAACAAGAATTGCTTTTACTTTGAAGAGACAGGAAGTAGCATAGTTTGTTTTGATGACGCAAAAATAAATGATAATGATACATAGAAAAACCTCATGTGCGTGTTCTGCTCATTGTTTGTAATTCTGAGTTAAGACAATAAAAAATTCTGTTCCAACAAGAAAGGCTCAAAACAAAGAGTAATCAATCAAAACATCACGATTGATGTGCGCACACGTAAAGCAGGGAGGGGAATGTTCTTTTTGGAACATTCCAGCAACTCCACTGTAGTTGGAGACTGATGGAGCACAAACCAGCTGCCTTCAGATGGAACAAAGAGTTATTAACTAGGGCTATCAATAGATTAACGTAAAACAATAAATTATTAGCGATTATTTTTTTTATTTTTTTTGACACAGCCGTGGTCCTCTGCAGGGTAGATGTTGAGATGGAAGTAGCCTAGCAGCTAGCTTAGCATAGTGGTGCGCAAAGTGGTTTCTTTGCCATCCCCCTTTTGTTTGACACGTGGAGGAATTCCTCTGCACAGTTCTCCGCTGTATGTCGCTGTTTGATTTACTTCCAATAAACAGAGCAAAAGCTCTCTCTGTCTTCAGCTACCGACTTTCTCCGATCTAACTGACTGCAGCTAGCGGCAGTTTCGTTTCCGGGGTCAACTCGTTTACTTCGTGCACACCAGAAAACCGGAAGTAAACAAAGTTGACAAAGTTAATCTCGGCCAGATTAATTGCATAGATTAACACGTTAATGTTGACAGCACTAGTATAAGGATATTGGAGCGCAGTAACCCATTTAAAGTAATATTAAGCTAAGATAATAACACATCATGTATACTGTAGGTGATACGATGAGAGGGGAGAGAGCAAAACTGTGTGAAGAGAATTAAATCATCAGAATTATATTGAGAATGTAAATTGTAATAATATATTGTATCTAAATCCACATGTAAAATATGATTCTCTTACTCTGATAGCATCTAGAGAAAAACACTTTGAGGAAAACCAGCCTTCATCCTGTAGTCCCACATGCTAAATAGGTCTCTTTATGTTAATTCCAAATAAATCTTCTTGTTTTGCTCACCCTCACACACTCGCGCTGAATTAAAGCATTTCTGTCCAAAACCAACTCAGAACCCATCTGTCATCTTATGATATTAACCAAGTTGGGTAGTGAGTGTGAAAGAAACAAAAAATTCTCCTCATTTCACTCCCTGAGGACTGATTGTGATTATTGCTGGCCGATGGCAGATGCGTAGCTTCCAGCACATTGCTGAGCTCCAGCTTTGGTGCCGGAATGATCTGCAGGGCGATTATTAAAACTGAGTAATTTGATGGAACCAAACAAAGCATTTTCACTCTGTGACTGCATTGTACTGAAATGTTGTCTGTTATCTGTTTTCGCTGATAGGGAGCAGGGCTTGTCACGCTGTAGCCAACAAAATACAGGCTTTTGTCCAATATTTTTGGATGTGACTTGTCCAGTGGTATTGATGTATCAATGGAAGGCTTTAGTCAAACACTTTTTCACTCAATGTATATATATATATATATATATATATATATATATATATACACTCAATACATAGCTAAGCTACAGATGATTCATCTCAGGTCCATGAAGACATACCTGCTGATTGATTTACCGATTAGATTGGCCATTCCAGCTCGAATCGACTTAACTCCTTCTTTTGACTAACGTCAGACTGCAGAGCCACATCGTCATGGCGATTCTATTTGCACCAAAATCCAATATGCTTATTCTGCTCATGTTTTCAAATCACTGAATCTGCTGAATTAGTGACTAACCTAAATGTAACAAGTAACACCTGTCCAACCAAACATCAACATTCACACACAGATCATGTTGGGCCCATGTCTGGTCTCATCATAAGATCAGTACCACATCAACTTTTGGAAACCCCATCTGGCATGTTTCTCTGTTGTCATGGAAACTCAGAAGGCAAAACCCAAATACGGCGACTGACACATTCACAAATGGTGTCAACTTCTGAGAAACACCGCCCGCATAAACTGTAAGTTATATTCGGTGAGTCAATCAACCGACCGCATTCCATCCCCAGTACGATGTCATGTCTACTGCCTAGTCCCATGCTGAATCCTGTCCCGTGAGACTCAAAGACATCAGTCAGTCATAACCAAAATAAATGACTATTAACTTCCTGGTTAACACAGAGCAATTACTTCATTTGGATGGCAAAGATACAAGTGTCTTTGATGATGTGGGCGAGAAGCATAAATGGACAGAAAAAGATACACTTGGCTAGACGTGCTTACAGGCGCACACACACAGCAAACCCCTCTAACCCTTGTCCTACTGCAGACTGAACGAGTGCGTCTATTGTCCTCGAGCATAACTGTTGTCTGTCCGCAGCGGAGACGTAATCAGTGTTCCTGGATGCTGCAGGAGACGGGCCAGCAAGGCTGCAGCGGTCGTCTACCCATTACCAGCATTCCTTCGTTCCGTCTCACAGACTATAACAGGAGGTTTGAGACTGTGAGACATGCACCAGAAGTATAAACAACAACAGTAGCTTTGCATAAGTTTCCATCATAGGCAAGTCTT